ATTTCAGGAGAGGARTCTCAGCATGGGGTGGGGTAAGCAGTGAGGACAGAGTGCATGGAGTCAGAGGGATGTGAGGATCATCCATGGTTAGTTACACTACAACCTCTCTTGAGTTTCAGTTTCCTCACAAAATTTTATTTAATAGCTTGGGAGAAATAAAAAGGGAGGAGTGTATATCTGGTGTATGACTAGTCTTCAATAAATGATTATTATTTTAATAGCTAATATATTGGACAGATGGTGAAAGATGAAAGTACATCTGGGAAAAGGTTTAAGAAACTGGATATTTACCTGAAAAAGAAGAAATGAGGCAGAAAGATATGAAAATAAAGTTTTCAAAGCCTATATTGTATAATGAGAATTWGATGAAGCTTTAGTTAATTTAAATACACTCATAATTACCTCTAAACACAACAAAAATCTTGGAGTAAATCTCTATATTTTTGCTCCAATAGGTATTTATTAAATCTTGTGGATTAAAAAAAAATTAGTGGACAAACATTTGGCAATAGAATCTCATTTTTTTTATAAAGCATATCATCTCCTTTMTTTTCCATCTTTTTGTAAGCAAATGGGCAAATTTTCTAATTATACCAGGCAGAAAATAATTTATCCTGAAACCCTGTGATATGAAAATTCATGTCTAGCAAGGTGTATTTAGGGCACACATTTGTTAGAGTTGAAGTAAAAACTCCAATGTCAGAAAACTTTAGGGTCTGTGGCAGCRTGCCCAGAAACATCTTCCCCAGAAGCTGCCAATTTAAGCAGCTGGGGCTGATAATGATTCACAGCAACTTGGACAAATTTCTTTTTCTTCCAAGCTGATAGATAGGTAATGGGGAAGAAAATAGTGGTACCAATTTCAGGATAACAACTATCAGTGCTGGGTTTGCTGTTTTTCTCCCCTTCTGGCTGGAGTAGACGCCTTCCCTTGGACTCAGTTTGCAGGAGGCAGCAAATCTTGGGGTGACTGTTCACTGGAGCCATTTATCTGAATTGCATCTGTTGCTCTATACCACCTCTAGTCTGGGAAGAGGGCTCCTGAGTGAAAACATTCTAGGGAATTCTGGTGGCAAACCTTTCTTTCAGCAATGATTACTTAATCTTCATCAACATTTTACATAAATCATTAAGAAATTTACATATCATAAACAAAAGCATATAAAATGCAGTTTATAATATCTAGAATCATCTTTATAATATAAAATTATCATTATGTGATAGACCTTGCAAACAAATATCAATGCAACTGAAAATAATAAAAGTATTGWCAGTGCCTACTCATTTTGCTATTACTGTATGCCAGATACTGTTAAGCACTTTAAACACAATATTATTTAATATTTATTAACTCTATTATTAGTCCCCAACCTATTAATATTATTAAAAATTGATAATCCAGACACTATATCTTGGCTTAACATGAATTAAATAAAGCTGCTCTAACATCTGAGTATGTAGCTCAGTGGTTGAGCACTAGCCTAGCATAGATAAGTAACTGGGTTCAATYCCCAGCACTGCAAAAACAAAAACAAAAAATTGCTCTATTTATTTCATGGGATATTATAAGCATTAAAACAGATAAMTTTAAGAGTCCTTTGATTTAAAATTATGTATGTATTTGTAATTACATATGTAAATATTTAATATAAATAATATGCATACACACAATAATAAACATGTAGTATATGGAGTATATAGAGGCAGGAAGGTATGTGATAAAATATGAACTTGGAATCTGAGGACCTGAATTTCAATCTTGGATGTATGATTTTGGGTAAGTCACATCKGCTGTCCTCAACCCCAACTTGTAAAATGAAAGAGATACTTATACTTGTTGAACTCTTAAACTATCTTCCCTACCTAAAGATTTATACATAAAATATACCACATATTTGTATACATATATACTTACTAATTTGCCACTAATGTACTCTAGGATGATAAAGAATAGACTCTCAGAATTCTTTGTTTTGCTACAAAAATTTTTAATTCTTCTCCAACTGTTTATCTTGCTACCTGGATATTATATAACATGAACATGTACTTTCTAACTATGGTATATTTTATACCTTCCTAGATATAATACTAAGTTATCTCATATTTATAGTATAGTTTAGGAAAAGCRGCAGCAGCAGGATCAGAAATCCATAGACCTGATGATTAATAAATTTTCTGTGTTCATAAAATAAATGCATATTTTATTACATGTGCGCCAGCTTATTTTCCTGCAGCATTGTTTTCAACAGGAAATGTASAGAAACTATGCAAATTGTTAAATCAATTAAGACAGTCATCCATTTACTGGAATATTATGCATCTCTAAAGAATAATTTTTTACTCCTTTTCAAGATGTGAAAAGATATAAAGAAACTTTGGATGAACATGTACAAATGAAGAAGAGTAGTTTCTACAGGACAAGGGYTGGGAATACCCAGCAAATGGCAGACCAGGGCTCAAGGTGAATTTTCTTTCATGCGTTTTTGAGCCAGAATGTAGTTTCTGTTTCAAAAATGTAAAACGAGTTAGATACTTTAATAAAAAAAAATGATGTAAATGCCTTAAAAGGACGTTATTCAGAATTTGAAGTTATGAATCAGATTGCTTTATCCTGACACCAAGTTGAGGTCAGTTGACATTGAGAGAGATTGAGTTTTGATTTGTGGGAGAGATAGAAGAGGGAACAGGCTACCTTTGGGAGCACAATGTATCTTGAGGGAAGGTTTCATCGATGACAGTATCTAAAGTAAAGATTACTTCTTGGGCATCTGGATAACAGAGAGGGAGGCCAGGATAGAAAGAGGACTGGGAAGGGGAGGAGGAAGAGGACAAGGGTAACACACTGTCTATTTGGCAGTTCTGCCTGGGTCCCTTGTCCTTCTACTACACTGAGAATCACTCAGTGCTGAGCTTGCTAGGTTGGTGGGGGCCAGAAAGAGGTCCTCCCTAGCATTTTGAGAAACTTATCCAAAAGCATGATACTGAGCCACATGTTAGCACCAGGTGTTACCACCAGAAGAGAAGTGGGAACACAGATGGGGAGGTGCATGCAAGAAAATGCCCCCAAATTTCTGCTTAATATAAGAACTATATCCCTGGCATAAACTCAGAAGCATAAAATGAACGTTACGATAGTTAAGTTTTTATTTGAGGCATAGAAGAAATAAGGTAGGGAAATAAGAATCATTTAGAGGTTCTCAAAACAGTAAGAGCTCTGAGTTACAAGTCAGCATCAGAACAAGGGGACAAATGAGGAGACACCATGTGTAAGAGGGTTGAATCTTTCTAGAAGATGGATGGATAATCACAGGGTCATTCCAAACTTGGTTTCCTTCTCTCTCTCTCTCTCTCTCTCTCTCTCTCTCATTCTGGGGATTTGACTCTAGGGGTGCTTAACCACTGAGCAACATCCCCAACCCCTTTTTGTATTTATTTAGAGACAGGGTCTTGCTGAGTTGTTAAGTGCCTCACTAATCTGTGAGGCAGGCTTTGAACTTGTGATCCTCCTGCCTCAGCCTCCTGAGTTGCTGGGATTATAGGCATGTGCCAACATGCCTGGCCTTCCAAACTTGGTTTCTTAATGGAGAATTTGATCATTTATCTGTTTACCAACAAGGAATATGCTGATCTCAGGTAGGTGATACACAAAGGTTCCACAGTGCAACAATGAAAAMCAACTGTTAGAGCTGGGCATGGTGGTGAACACCTATCATCCCAGCCACATGGGAGGCCAAGACAGAAGGATGGTGAGTTCAAAGCCAGCCTYAGCAACAGTGAGGYGCTAAGCAACTCAGTGAGACCCTGTCTCTAAATAACATACAAAATAGGGCTGGGGATGTGGCTGAGTGCCCTTGAGTTCAATATCCAGTAACTTCCCCACCCCACCCCCCCAAAAAAAGAAAAAGAAAAACAACTGTTAGGCCTAGAACTGCTTTAATTAGACCATAGTTTTGTTAGGAGAAAAATATGACTAATAGTGGTATGGTCTCTGTAAGCATCCTTTTACCAACCCCCTTACAATAAACAACAGCTGTATATCATTCACCAAAAACATGAATCATCCCAGGCACAAGCTTTCCTCATTATGATGAAGGGTTGCAAATCTTTGCCAAGTCGTTCAGTATCAAATTATACCACATGCCATTATACTGCAATGATATCTCTGGAAGAAAACTAAACTAGTCACCCAGAAGGAGAATAATGCAGTATAATTTTCTAGCTTTGTACTACTTTATGAATCAGAACGTTTCAGAAAGCTTTATATTGAAAAAAAAAAAAAACAGCTAAAATAGGAAACACACAGGGCCARTTCCTAAGAGTCCTATTCCTCTCCTATTTAAACATGAAGAAGGGTGTAGATATTTGGAAATGATTTGGATAAGGGTTTCTCAATCTCTGCACTATTCACACTTTGGTCTGGATAATTCTTTGTATCAAGGGCTGTCCYRTGCACAGCAGGATGCTTAGCAACACCCCTGTCCTCTACCATCTAGAAACCAGTAGCACTCTCCAGTTGTTACAGTAAAATCTGCCACCAGATATTGCCAAATGTCCACTGGTTGTCAAAATTGTCCCCTTTGAGAACTTCTGACTTAGAAGTTTGCTCATTTTCTGTCTAGCTCCTTTGCGGTCATACAGGTAACATACCTCAGTCTCTTCACTGAAATGAAACCCAAATAAGGAAGTAAATGCAATAATTATCACTAAGCAAATTCACTTACCAATCATATGGATGTACTTCCTTTCTCCTCCTGTATTCTCCCCCGCAAAACCCAGCCCACCGAGGTATTTTTTTAATAGAATGCTTACATAGAACTCAGACTTCAACTTTCTCAGACCTTTCACGAAACAGAAAAGATAAAATGGAAAAGAAAATTCATCCCATACACACAAGTACCAGTTATGAAATCATTTCTTGTTAGAAATGTTTCCCTGGGAACTGCAAAATACCCTTTGCTGTGAACACACCATACTGATTAGCAAACGAGAAAATAACTCACTGTTTGCAGAAGCAGCTTTTTGGAATCTTGTCAGGTCCACATTTGGTGGTCTGCTGGGTTTTTGTGGAGGTGGGCCCAACACTGACAGGGGGGGCAATGGCTTCTGCTTTGGAGTTGTTGAGTTCTTCTCTTCCTTTTCCTTCTCTTGACTCTGGCCCCATGGCCCCCCCACTGTCACCTTGGAAGGTGCCTTAGGGAACTTGGCGGGAGATGCCCCTGACTCCTCCTGGTTCGCTTTGCTCAGGAAGATGTTCTTCGTAGCATCCAGCTTCCTATCTTCTTTTTTCTCTTCACCATTTTTGGAGAGCCCTGGGCTGCCTCTGCTGTCCCTGGGTTTCAGGACCACTCCAGGAAACGGTGAACTTGAAGTGTCACCCCCATGGCCTTTATTTTCAGGGTCTTCCCTGGGGGGTTTTAAAGGGCCGCTCTTGGACTTGGCTCCTAGGGACGGTGAGGGTCCTTTCTGGGCAGACAGGTTTCTGGTGGGGCTCTCATCCTCATGGGAGTCCTCCGCACTCAGGGATGGCTTCTGGCCAAAGGCAGGCTTGGGGAACAGGGCCTTGGGGTCATGATCTTGTGATACTGACGCGAACTTGCCTTTAGTCCCTGCCAGCTTTGGGAACACTTGCCTCTGTTCATTGTCCTGAGCTGGAGGAGTGGGTCCCGGCTTTGGGCCTGGTGTCTTCAAGTCTAGGTCTTGGTTCCCACCATGAAGGGAAGGCTTGTTTCCAGGAGACCGAGGAAACACAGGTTTAGAATCTTCTTTGGGCACATTGATGGGCTTGGGGCCTACGGGCTTCAGAAATCCCACTTTGGCTTCAAGGTCTCTGGTGGCTGAGTTTGCCGGTGTTCCGAATCTTTGGCCCACCCCAGTAGGCTTTAAAAATGGGGGTTTGGGTTCCTTGTCAGGCTTTTCCTCAAAAGTGGGTTTCACTGCCAGTGGTGGCTTAGGGGTCCCAAACTTAGGCACGTTGCCGGGTCCTGTGAGAGGGCTGGCATTTTCTTGGTTGTTGAACAAGTTCTTTCTCGCTTGTATTCCTGAAGGGGAGTTTTGCCCTGTGACTTTGAAGGGCCTGCTGTTGSCGGAGACCTCCTCTGTCGGGTTGCTCCCTGTGTTAAACTTCGCCATGAGGGACTTCACATCTGCTTTTCCATCCTACAAGCATAGGGAACAAAAACTAGCTGATAGCCAGAAGTCTCACTTGCACAGTTTAAAATACTATACATTAAAGGGCTTCCTGCTTTGAGGCCAGCAGCATTGCTGATTGGTTAGCAAGATATTGTAACATTTAAGTTCCTCTATGGCAAAATAAGTTGTGAGAGTTTCTTGAAAGGGGAGGACTATTGTTGTGCATAGACTTTTTTTSGTCGTCTCAGAGTGACTTGCTCACGTTTACTTAAGTAACAACTTATCTTTGTTCTCTCACCATTTTTCTAACCATTTTGTTTGATTTATGCTGACTTGATACTTATCTACTGTTTTTTTTTTAAATTTCAAATATATACTGACAAATTCTTGCATATTTTATAATTGAGACTCTTAGGTGGAAACTACTTTTAAAAAATGAAAGTAAGCTTTTAAGTTTCTACCAAAGACGCTCTCAGTTGTAAATTCAGGCTACACGCTTTAAACAGTATGGCCAGGTTTAGCATCTCTGTGGTTTACAACAGTTTTCTTGTTCCTATCCACATTTAAGGTCTTTTGCTGTTAGGGAGATGTGGCAGAACACTCCTTGTAGAGTAATAGAACAGGATTTGCTAAGTGTKAATAAATCTTAAGTGCTGATATTTCAGCTGTATCCAGACTAGCAGCAGAATGCGCTTACTTTTAGAACTAGCTCTGTCTAGGGGACTTGGTCTGGAGGCAAGGAACGAGGTAAAGGAACRAGGACACAGTTTGCACTGACTCAGAAGCCTCATTTCCAGATCTTTTTTTTCTCCATTTGTATCTCTTCTCCACTGACATTTATCACTCCTTCTCTGAAGTCCTGCTACGTAATCTCTGCCCTTCTGGTCTAGGTATTACTTAGCAAAGAGAGAAAATACCCACCTTGCTCTGTGAATATAATCCCATGTAATCTGGGAGAGTCAATGGTATGATTTTTCCTTCTTAACAGGTAACAGTTCAAATTTTCTARCTACTTTAGAAATGTTTGAAAATTTGAAGCTTCCAAAAAAAAAAAAAAATCACAAAGATCCACTTTGGCCATGACGATCTCTTTTTTTATGCTTTAAATTTCACCCAGAAAATGTTTTTCTACTTCTCACCCCACCCCTTCACCACCTGTTGCCACACACCAAACACGTTTCATCTTTCAAGGCTCCATGCAAATACCACAAAATCAGACTCTGCTCAGGTGAGTACATCTGCTCCSTCCTTGTAATTCATAATGCACTTCAGATTCTGTACACAACTCTGTCTGTTTCCTCTAATAGTAAGAATCACCATGTAGCACGTAAGGGCTTAGACCTGATTCTATATCCTCCTTATTCTTACAGCAGGTTTAGCAGAATGGCATCATTCAACTCCATTTCACAGGAAAGAAAATTGAGACTGAAACTGCAGGAGGATGCCATCGAAAGAGAATGGGAACTTCATTTGATCTTAGTTTATTAGTGGGATCTCAGTTGCATCATATATAAAATGGGGATAATATCGCATAGCTGCCAGAACTGTCATGTACTTTAGAGATGGAATTTATAAACTGCTTCTCTGATCCCCAATATGGGCTCAAAAAATGGAACTGTCATTATTAGAACTGCAAAGTAACACATTTAAGGAATTAAAGGCAGGCAAACTCAGGTCCGTCTAGGGCTCCTAAGCCCAGAAATTATCTCATTCATTTCTTTTCCCCAYAATACATAGGGCTTGGCACACTCAGGATTCTAATTGATGTTTGGGGAATGGAGATTGGCATCAGATGAATACTTGTGATTTGGCAAGAAATCACTGCAGCAGTTTGTTTCCTTACCAGATTGCAGTGCATGTATGTTTGAGGGGTGGAAGTGAAGGACTTAGGCAGGTGGAGAAGACTTATAAGAGTAGCAACTTCCAGTTTGAATTTTGTACCTTCAATTTATTACCCTGTATCTGAGTTGCTAAGATCTTCTTGTCTTCTAACTTACCTCCCTTTACAACTTTTCTAGACTCATGCTTTCCTTAGCTCCTCAAGCAATCYCCAAAGCTCAATGGAAGGAAGATAGCACAAYTAGGGAGGATTTGGGTGTTGAGGAAATATAGAACGGGTGTTTCCTTGAACCTCCAGAGATGTCACTACTGCAGAGGACTTTGAACCTTAGCACAAGAAGCATAAAGAAATATCAAATATAGGGGCTGGGGTGCAACTTATTGAACCTTAGCACAAGAAGCATAAAGAAATATCAAATATAGGGGCTGGGGTGCAACTTAGTGGTAGAGTGTGTGTTTTGCATTCAGAAGGTCCTAGATTCAATCCTTTGCATACACACACAGACACACACACACACACAAACACATACACACACTACCAAATTAAAAAAAATTGCTTCTCACCTGGAAAGAAGTCTGTCTCTGAGGAAGATTTCTTTGATTACATAGCTTTATTCTCTATTTTAAAATTTATATTCTAAATCTGTCATTTATACCAGATTCATTCTACATTTGTAACAAGTGGCTGCAGCAGGCTCCTTAAGAGCATCAACTCAGGAACCAGCTGGACTGTGTTGGCATCTCACTGGCTGCTTAACCTTGAACAAGGAACATAAATTAGTTTGCTTACCACCATAATGAGAATGATAATGCTATTCATAGGACTTAGAAAAATTACAGTTTCATATGTGTAAAGTACTTTAAACAGCATTGGCACATGGGAGGGTTTTCTACTTTTATAAAACAAATGAAGCCTTAATTATCCCTCTCTGGCTACATTGGTGAAGAAGTAGGATCCTCCTTTCTTGTGGCAACTTCACATCTTGGATTTCATGGGGAAAAACCCAAGAAATACCCTAACCCATTGCCAATTTCCATGTCCTATTTTTAATTTAGAAAATATGGAAGTCACAGATTTGGAACTGGAACTTAAGTCTCTTGGCTGCCAACCCTGAGCCAGGACACAGTGCAGTGTCCCTGTTAAAAGTACAGCTCTGCAATTATCAGCTTGGGTTCAAACCTTGACTTTGCCATTGAGAAGCCACGTGATCTAGCAAGTTACTCCCCCTCTCTGAGGCCGTTTCCTTCCTCTCTTAAATGAGGATGATTACCCTGTTTCTCACAGGATTTTATTTTGATCATTTTCTTAAGGATTAAATGAGCTAATGCCTATAAATTTCTTAGGTCAAGAATTACATGCAATATATGTCAAATGATTCAACAGCACGAAGATAGCACAACTAGGGAGGATTTGGGTGTTGGGGACTTAACTAAGCTCTTAAACTAGCCTGCTGCAGCCTCTTGTTACAAAYGTAGAATGAATCTAGTATAAGTGATAGATTTAGAATATAAATTTTAAAATAGAGAATAAAACTATGTAATCAAGGAAAGTTTCCTTAGAGACAGACTTCTTTCCAGGTGGGAAGCACATTTTTTTTAAACTTGGTACTTTGTGTGTGTGTGTGTGTGTGTGTGTGTGTGTGTGTGTGTGTATGCATGCAGAGGATTGAACCTAGGACCTTCTGAATGCAAAACATTCTACCACTGAGTTGCACCTCAGTCCCTATATTTGATATTTCTTTATGCTTCTTGTGCTAAGGTCCAAAGTCCTCTGCAGCTGTTTCTAATTCACTAGTTACATGACATATTTTTTCCCCAATTGATCAGATTCTGAATTTACTAACATTAATGTTATGTACTACTTTTAAACCAATGTAACTAGAAAAAATATACTCCTGAATAACATATCAAGAGTAATGATATTTGAGTTTAGTTTACCCATACTCTAGAACTGGACTTTGAAAGATGAAGAAACAATGAGCAACAAGTTCCTACACGGGACCCCTTGAAGCAACAGTAAAGACCACCCAAGCTTACTAAGATGTCTAGCAAGTCAACAGCTCGAACTCTATTTAATTACAAATATTGACTTCTTAGTTTCAGAGGTTGCTTGATCATTATCTCTGTTAATAAGTTTATTAGACAAGATTTTCAATAACCACATTTACCCTTAACAAGAATAACAAGAATAACAAGAATAGCCAAATTTATTTTTTTACCTTAGATAATGATGAAAAGGCAAAAATGACAAAAAAAGTGACATTCTCCCATTCCAATTTTATTGCAGATTGAATATTCATTCATTGCCTAGGAGTCTTTTTATTTAAAGAAAAAGAAAAAAAAAGGTACATCATCTCCAACTCCCAAAGCTGTCTATTAGTAATGGGGTGATTTATGCCCAGACTTACTCACAACTGTACAAGTTTACGCCTATTGTTCTGGAGTGATAGTAATGGTCTCCTTTTCTCTCAAAATTGACCAGCTTTAAACAGTAAACTATATGGTGACCTTCCTCAGTTCTCCTCTCTAAAGACAACCACTGTCAGAATTTCTTATACATGTTGATAAATGATGCTGATGCAGATATGTTTATATATTTAAATACGTACTTCCTTACACACATACATCTTTCCTGCTCCTGCTTTGTACACAGATGACAACCCCTGCTCTGCATTTTCCTTTCTTCCAGGGTTAGTATTCAGTTGACATACACTAGTAGGATCAGCAACCATTCCGATTGTTTGGTATCTGTGAAATTCAAGCTGTTAAATATTTTCGATATTAACTCCACTTTTCCCCTTGCCAACTTGCCCATACTGGTGTATATTATTTGCAGGACCTTTTAAATTCTTAATGATTTAAATATTTGGCTTCTACTTATTCATAGGAAGAGACAGTTTGTAATTCAGAGGACTCAGTATTGACAATATTTTAGATTAAAAAAAACATTTCATCTCAAAACCTTGTAATTTTTCCAAAGTCACTTGAAACAATTCATCATTGCTTCCTCTTGTTGAATCTCTCTATGATGCTTAGCCCAAACTACTTACATATATTTCTCTATATTTATATAAAATTAATAAAACTAATTATAAGATATAATTGTAGAAAATTTGTTCTGAAAATCAATTTTCTTTAGCTCACATGAATTTTCCTTTTTAACAGAATTATGTATTCTCACT